AAAATGGGACTATACTACAATTAGTTGAGACGAAGACAGTCTTGTGGTGCCAATCATTTTACTAGCCCTCAGAGAAATAGTGTACATCGAGGCTTCTTACGAAGTAAATCTAAACAGGCTTACCTGCTACACTTGGCAACATCATGGACTGTCGCTTCTCTTTCATTCGCCTGTTTTGAAACCACACCTAAATCAAATAATGGTTTGTATGATCATTTTATGGGAAGATACTTCAAAACATGAGTTTTACATTGATAAAGCTGAAATATTGCGATGCATTAAGGGAGGACATTAAATATATACTGCAGCAAGTAGCTAAATAATTCGTCTAGGGTGCGATTAATCAATTGCGAAAAAGTAGAGAGTGTGCAGGAACAATGATGGACGGGAAAAATTTGACCTTCTACTCTCACGATTTACACAAAATCCACTAAGCAGATACGTAAGAGAATGCAACCGAGTTTCTATTTGAATACTGCCTGCTCACGGTACAATTTATAAATCGTGACATCCACCTTAATCGTATTCTCCGGCAGCTGTAGTTGAGTCGCTAGCTGAGCCCTCTGGGGTCGTGAAATGTAGCGCTCAGTCTGAAATACCTCTTCCAGTATCCTGCTCTGGTATGGCGAGTAAGATGTACGGTAGCGCTTGGGATCCCCGCCAGCTACCATCTGCCCTTCTGTCGTATCGCTACCGCTCTTGAATTTTCGTTTTCCGGTCAAATGGGACGCTAAAGCCGACTGCTGATGCTCCTTTACCTCCGCTGCTATTATTGCCGACGCCAGACTCGCCGTAGGAAGGGTATCGAGACGATAGGACTGAGGCGTGGGAGAGCTAATGAGTGGTGCAGAAGGTGAACGGCAACAGAATGGGAATTGAAGTGGAAGCAAAGGAAGGGAAAATGGTGGTCCAGCGTTGGGATAGGGACAGAGGCAGAGAGAAGTAGATGGAGCTGATGTGGCAGTAATGATAGCTGAGGTATCGAGAGTTGAAAGGCTGCTTGTCAAATGACTGTACAACTCGTCATGGGAAACTGTAGTGATGAAGGAGGGACTTGAAACGATTGCGTCATTGAATGGCTTGAACATCTTTTTTTCTGAAAAGTGGAGTATAA